AAAAAAAAGCCCAAGAGGTGCATTGAGTCATTTGTGTTTGAGATACAGATTGCAGGTTGCTGCTGGAAAAGTGACCTTTAGGATTTCACCAGCAGCGTGGGGTGGCTGGGATGGGCTGAGCCAGCACAGGGGGCCGCATCTCAGCACACAGAAAACCGAACTGCCTTGAACCCAGGATGTTTGGTACAGTGGTTGTGCCTTACCCATGTCAGCAGAGGAACATTGTGGGTTTTAAAGTCTCTGTGAGCTTCACACCACTGCTGTTTTTGGCACAGCTACTGCAGAGGCAGAAAACTGATGGTGTCGAGTCCCTCGTGCTGTGTGCTGCCTGCTGGGGGCTCCTGCATCCCCTCCATCCCACTAAATGAATGGTTGATGTCAGTAAATAATTCTCTTTGTAAACAGCGTGCATGAGCAGCAAGGCTCTTTTTTTTTTTTCTTTTTTTCTTTTTTCTCCTTTATTTTTTCCCCCGAAGAGGTGACAACACCCTTCAACACTGATTTATTTCCGGCACTTGCTGGAGCTGCTGGGCTCTGCTGCTGGCCGTGCTGCAATCACGTTCACAATGCTTTGATTGCAGGGGTGCAAAGCCAAGATGCGCGGTCTCTCCTGCTCTGCTCGCCGCCCTTCTCGCCCTGCTCTGCACATCGCTGCGAGGCCGTTAGAGGGCATTTGAGTTTTGTTTCTGAGCAGCCCTTAAGGGTTCACTGCCGCTCGGCTCTCCTGTGCAGCTCCGCACGCTGGAGCAGCCCCAGCCCGTTGGGCTCATCGCTGCTGTTTGTTTTCCCGTCTCCTGCCTTTCTGCTGGCCTTAGTTTTTGGGGTATGCGCTTGGATGCTGGGCGGTATGTCTGGTGCCTCCTCCGTCTGAGCTGCTCGCCTGCCAGAGCCCTGCCAAACCGCCGGGCTTTGAAGAGCAGGCGGCCAGGCGGAGCAGGGAGCTGTTTGTCCTGGAGGGATGTGAGGAAGGTAAATGGGAGCTGCCGCCAGGAAAACACCTCTGCCGGTGTCCGGGTGTGGTGGGGCAACGAGCCCCATCCCCAGCGTGGGGGGCAAGGGGCATCCCAACAGTGGTCTAATTCTGCAGAGCAGAGCTGTGTGTGCGGTGCTGGGCACAGCAGCGTCACTCAGCCCTTTCCAGAAGCCTCTCCGATCCGGGAAAGGACCACGTCCCTTCTTCTCAGGTGGGTTTGTGCTTGGCAGGATTTCCCCATCTCATACAACAGGGTGCTGCTGCCCAGCAACCCAACCCGGGGCAGCAGAGTACACAGGCGTGTTGTAGGGATCTTGTTCTCTATTTCCACCCTCTTCTGCAGCTGAAGTCCATCGGTTCTCAACCAGATTCCCGAGGGACGTGTCTTCCATCTCCTCCAAAACCACGGTGTCACGGATGTGTGCCAGCCTCAGTCCCGGAACATTGGCTGCAGGACACAACCAGGGTGGGCGCAGCTGCAAACACCCTCCTCATCCCCTCTGGAAAGGCAAAGCGGAGCGATGTGAGGACAGTGGATGCTGGAGGACTCACGGCTGGGGGGCTGACGGGGCGTGCACGGGGTGTTGGCTGGGATGTCCCATTCCCACTCCAAGCTGCTGCCTGGAGATGTCGGCATCACCATCGCTTACCACAGGGGATGCCGCCGGCAGAGCCGGGCAGGGACTGAGCACGCAGAGCCGCCGCTGTGTCTCCAGGCGGCAGTAGCGGTTCTGGTTGGAGATGCGGGTGGAGAAGCCGACGCCGCAGGTGGCCGAGCAGACGCTCCACTCCGTGCCCCACGGCTGGCAGAGGTACGGCACTGCGGGGGCTGGATGGAAACAGAGGAGGGGAAGTGGGATTGGAGCCCAGTGCCGCCTTACCTGCCCTGTGCCACGAAGAGAGGGGCAGTGAGGTGTCCCCTGTTGGGGCTCACCACCTCGTCCCACCTCCTACCTGCCCCAGTGCTCTGCCGCCCTCCGGCCTCGCAGACCCACTCAGGGCAGCACTTCCCTGGGATGTCCACACGCCGTGGGTAGGGGCAGTCTGGGGTGGGCAGGCGGACGTCCTCCTGGCAGAGCGGGACGCAGGTGAAGCCCCCGTCCAGGCAGCGGCACTGCAGCTTGCAGCTGGGCTGGAACACCTCCCCGTCACGGTACAGCCGCCCGTTCACCTCACAGCCCTCCTCGTTGTCTTCGACTGCAACGATAGTGGGGAGCCACCGGGGCAAGGGGACAGAGAGTGGGGGTGGCAGAGGGGATAGCTGGTGGTGACTGGGGGCTGCCAGGAGGAGGGGGAACTGGATGGTCACAAGGGCATAGGGAGGCATGAGGTGATGTGTCGCCCAACCTCCCCCTCCCTGCCTCCTACATCATGAGGTGGTGACAAACCCACTGCTCTCTCTCCAACCCTGTCCATAGCTCTCAGGGCTTTCAGGCTTGAAAATATCCCTCTGTTATTTCCCTGCAGCTCTCTATCCCCTCTATCCCCTCTAGCCCCTATGCTCATCCCACTCAAACCACCCCCAAAAACCCGGCTAGTGATTGGCATTAGAATTGGCAGGAGCAGCAACTCAGCCCCGCAGCCATCTGTGTGCATCTTCCTCGGCAGAGCAGCTCTCAGAGCCATGTCCAGCTGTGGTGCTCACAGTTGCAGGTGCCTCCTGTCCCCGAGCTGTAGTCACAAATGAGCCCCTGGCTGCGGTCGCAGACATGCAGGAAGTCGCAGGGCTCTCCCAGGCGCCGAGCGCAGATCCTGCAGCAGCCACAGCCATCCAGGACCAGGGGGGACCCACGTGGGCAGCGGGGCAGCACGTGGGAGCAGTAGCACGGCCGTCGGCACAGCTGGCAGCACACCTGGGGGTACAAAGCAACGCGGGTTTGACACAGCTGATGGCTTTGGTTGCACTGGGATGGCCTCTGGAAGTCATCCTTGGTTGGGTGGAGATAGATGTTGGCTCTGCCCATCCATGGGGACACGGCAGTGCTGCTGGGAAAGCTGCCGTATTCTTAGGGAGTGACTGCACAGCACGATGGGCTCCCATGGAAACCAGGAGAATCAGGAATACCCTGCAAGATGGGGGCTGACATGCACCACTGCTGCGAGTGCAGGAGGAGGTAGGGCTGGGAAGTGAGCATCCACACACTGAGGCTCATCAGGTGGTGTTTGCAGCCCCCATGGCAGTTGGTGCACAGTTGGGGATGCAGCTTCCCAGGACCTATGTACACATAGTGAGGGCATTGCTCCTCCCGAGCCCCTCGCTGTGAGCACATCTCATTTGTGCCAAGAAATGGGACAACACATTTGCAGGGGAGAACTGAAGCCTGATGAGGCTCACTGCTGTTCTCTGTGCTGCGGCTGCCTCCTCCCCTACCCTGCCTGCAGCAGCCCCTGCCAACCCGTACCCCAAAGCAGTGTGCCTGCTCTGTGCCTGCAGGAGTTCCCCCAGGTGGGCAGCAGTGTGTCTGTGGCTGTTCTGCACACACCATTACCCTGGCACATCTGACAAGGGCGGCTGCTGGGGCTGCTGCATGTTGGATCGGAAGCCAAATGTTTTGGATCTGCAGTTTGCCTGTGCTGCCCTGCACAATGCAGGTATGCGTGCAACCCTGCCAGGATGTGAGAGGTGAAATCTATCCAAAATGGGCTGGGCAGTCTCTGCCTTGTTCTGGTCCTCTCAATGAGCAGCACTGCTGCTGTTGCAGAAGGCAGGGGGACCATTAGAGACCAGGCCACTGGTGGTGTTGGCCATGTTTGGACTGGGCGCAGAGGACAGCTGGTGGCTCTCCAGAGCTCACTGAGATCTCCTGGCCAGGAGCTGCTCATCAGTCATAACTCACCCAGGAGCCAAGTGCATTTTTCATCTTTCAGGTTTCTATTACAGACTGATGTTTTAGAAGGATTTGCCCATCCAGCAATCTATTAGATGGCTATTAATCCGTTTCCCCATGCTCCCTGCAATTAACTTGTCATTAGATGGCAATGTGGCTCCTGTTGGAGATCTTAAGTGCCCAGGAAAGCAGTCAAACAGGCACGAGGCTGTTCTGATGTCCCTGCTTGCAGTCTGGCTTGGGATTCAAGCACCAATTACAAGAATTTGGAACTGACATACCCCAACATTTTTCAAAACTCTGCACAGGGAGCTGTGTCATGCAGAATCCAAGAGAGAAAAAAAAATCAAACCCCTGGAACAATCCCAATCTATTGGATGGTTTGCATGAGCGTCCTGGAATGGGGGAGAGCTGAGTAGCCCTGGGGCTGGTGCTCACTGCACGGAGCCTGCAGGAGCTGCAGGATGGCTGCAGGGCAGGTGAGCAAACAGAGCACATTGCTGCAGCACAGAGGCATTTGGTCCATGAGAGTTAAGACTATGCTGCTTCATTGGAATTCTCTCCCAGCAGAGCTCTGCAGACATACAGCTGCCTGCCAGCTGTCAGGGCTACAGCAGCACTGCATTCTCCCTACAGTCCCATACTGGGAATCCTGGTGCTGCCCTGAGTGATCCTGAGGACATCCCACGCCCGACTCCTTACCTTGGAGAGGATGCAGAGCAGGGAGAGGATGAGGAGCTGCTTCTCCAGCCGGAGCCTCATGTTTGCAGGCTTTAAAGCCCTGAGTGGGTCCTGCTGGTGTTTATACTCTCCTCGCTCTGATGTCACTCCCAGGCTCCAATATAAACAGGAGTAGGTTTGGACGAGCCTCAAGATTTGCTTTCTTTTTTTTCCAGCCCACATTCCAGCTGACATTTCCACTCCCCTCAAGGTGAGAGCATGCTGTCTGCTGGGAGAGCAAGAGAGGGGAAGGGACAAGGGACACGTCCCCAATGGCACGGACATGGCAGAGGGGGCTGCCGAGCCTGGGCTGTCAGACAGTGCCAGCACCTCTCTGCTGGGCTGTGAACGGGCAGGGATGGCCTGACATGTTCCCCTGACATCCAGCCTGGGACATTGCCAAGCCTGAGCAGGGCTGGGAACCCAGCCCCATATTTAACTCTGCCCCAGGGCATGGCTTTGGGAGAGGGATATGTCACCCACACTGCATGGAATCCCAAAGCTGAGGGCAGAGTGCTGCCCCTCTGCTGTGTGGGATTCACAGTGTGCAGGAATGGCCAGGCAAGCTCTACAGGTGCTGAAAGGGCTCTTCTTTCCTTGGCTCCTATGGCACAGCAAGAGCAGGAAAGTGATGTGCAGCCCCCAGTGGGACAGCACATGGGGTTGGATGCACATGGTGTGGATTTGGACTCACCACATCACACAGGTTCTGCCTTCTGCAGGAGCACGGAGCAGTACTTGAGCAGCTCATCGTGTAGACACTGTTACAACCCTTCCTCTCTGGAGCACGTACCCCATCTGTGTTTTGCACCACACGTGTCATTTCATGGCTGGGGATTCATCCCCCAAGTTGTGCTCTGCGGTTCCCATGACATTACTGTCAGGTTTTTTGTTTCTTTTTTGTGGTCAGTTGATGCATGGATCTAAATACATCTCCTGGGAAGCTCTGCTGTTTCTATAGAAATGAAGGCACCCACTCAGCAAATGGACTTCTTCAGACAGCCGTGTTTCTCCATGCTGTGCCATTGAACATGCCATGGTGAGCAGCACCACCAATCTCTAATTTTTTGCTCCATTCATCTGTACTCACATCCCTCTGCAATGGCTGCACACCTTGCTCTCCCTCCATTCCTTCCCTTTGCTTAAGCCTCTTCCTTTCCTTACTGACAGCTCAGGACAGCCAGGAGCCCTGAAGTTAAAAGGGCTGCTTATGGCTGCTTCCATCCCTCTGTGGCCACTTCCATCCCCTGGGGGACCACCAGCCACGGTGAGGGGCAGCCATGCAGTCCTCTACCTTGAGATCACCACATGCACCCCAAGCCCAGGCGAGGAGAGACGAAAAGTATTTACCATCTGGTGGCCATCCAAGTGACTTGTGAGAAAAGAATTCCGGGCTGCCGTCCAGCTCCTGACAGTCAGGCAGCGGCATCAGAAACCCTCGGCTCCAGCTGGGACCGCTGACCCCTGTGGGCTGCCATGGGGGGCCGGGGCTGAGCGCAGGGGACCCCCACGAGTGGGGCTCTGTGGTGGTGGTCGTCCCACTCACAGCCCCTGTGCCTGCAGAGAAGAAGGAGCTGAGGTTGCACTGGGGAGTCGATGGGCTGTGGCGACTGAGAAAGGGCTCTGTTAGCCAAAATCGTGGAGAATGTCATAATCCAGACTCGAGGGGCTTATCACTACAACATCCAGCTGCGTTGTGAAGGGCCAGCGCTGCTTCTTAATGGGTATCGCAAAACCTGGGCAGCAATTCAGAGTGACTCCCTGCTGAAGCCCAGATGAGAGCCATCTGTCCCCATAAGTTAAACATTCAGATAACCCAAAGAGTAAGAATTTTGTAAGATGAAGCCTGGAAGCCTCAGGCAGATGAATCTTCCCATTATTATTTGGAAAATAGTGTCAGGAATCATCACGTATCGAGTGTTGTGAGCCTCGGAGAGATTATTTTTGGTATAAAGCATCTCCAAACATGAGCTTCTTTTACAATCTCAGTGGAAGTTTTGTCTCCCAGACAAGACATAAACCCAGACCCTGACCTCATGGGTCCAGACCCTCGGTATTTTCCATGGTGCTAACTCGTGTTTCCTGATCATGTTGCTCATTCTTTTTGTCTATCCCTGTTTTTCTTGTGGTTTAAGGCTGAAATAATCTTTGTTCTCCAGTCCTTGTCTAGGTGGGGTGTGCTGCAGAGGGTCCCAGCTCCCTTCCCAGTGCTGGACTTCCCAGGCATGCACTTCCCATCAACCAGCTCCTCCTGACCACATCCCCAGCCAAGTCCATAACGGCACAGCTGAAACCTTTAGTGTATGTGTGGGATCCAGCTGAGAAAAACAAGCCTCCAGGTCTCACCATGGTTATGAAAGCAGCGATGTCGCCCGGAAAGTATGTACCAGGGAGCAGAGAGCTGCAGTGCCGAAAGGGGTGAGCGGGGGAGGTGGGCATCCGCTCAAATATGACTCAAAATCAGGGGAAATTATTTCTGATGAACGTAATTACTTCGGCTCCAGCCCTGATCAATACGAGGAGATGAAACACTCATAAACCAGCCGAGAATGCGAGCTATGCGCCGTGATTTGTAAAAGATGTTTGGCTCCGGGCTGCTGCTGTCAGGCTGCCTGTGGGGCAGGGACCCGATGGGGAGGCTGCAAACCCACAGCCCCCAGCGAGCATCTCCTGCAAGGTAGGAGAGGAGGTCATCCCACACGGGTCTCAGTGTTCATTAAGAACATGCAGCAGCTGGGCTGGATGGAACGCATGCTCTGATCACAGCAGGAGAGCCACGGCAGCCTCTATAGGATGGGGTTTGGGTGGGCACCCAGCACAGCTGGGCACGGTGCACTGGGTGAGAGGGTCTTCGGGGAGGAGTGTGCAGAAAGGGAGCGCTTGGCCGCTGGGTCTGCATGCGTCATGCAGGGTTGGTGACAGCAGCCAGACCCACAGCTCTGTGCAGCCTGCTTCTGGCCAGGGCTTCTGCTTCTGTTTCAAGCAACCAGAGCCCCAGAGAAGCATCTCAGAAGGCAGTTCTTGGGAGCCAGAGCCCAAAAAGGAGCACAGTCCAACACAGCAGGGGCACACAGCTGCTTTTGCTGAGCCCAGAGAGGGACATCTCCCACGGATACCACTGAAAGCAGTGTTGTGTACTCTTGCCATCACCCACCACCTGGCTGCAGGCTGTTTAAGCTGATTTTGGCTGCAGTTCGTGCCATCTGTACCACATTTCCAACAGTTTCTCTGTCACCTCCCTTGGGCACTGAGCTTCCCTATCCACATGGAGAAATCCCATTCTCCCCGTGCTGTGGTTTTGCTGGAAAGCACAACCAGCACAGTGTGGTTGGGGTTAGGAGAGCCTGTTTCCCAGCGATGCTGCACATGGCCCTGCTGAGCTGCGGTCTGCCACGCTGCTGCCACCCAGAGCGAAACACAAATGCTGGGAATGAAGCACAAACGCTTCACCGACCGCAGTCCTTGAGCACAAGGCGAGAAGCCCAGCACAGCCAAAGCCAAGGGGAAGCTCTCTGAGCGGCAAGTGCAGGTCCTGAGCCACCTGCCCGCGCCCACCCAGAGCTGAGACCTCCTGGTGTCACCTGCAGTCCCCATCCCGTGGCAGGAGGAGGTGACAGTGATGCTGCGTTGTCACTATGCTCACCCTTGGGGCACCTTTGAGGTGGCACTTGGACGTGGCCAAGCCCTTACTGCCTGCTCATCCTCAAGAGCCAGGGGCACCTGCTCTGAGCCGCATTCCCCAGCTACAGCCCTCCCGTCCCGGAGCACGGCCCGTCTGCGTGCTGCTCCTGGCAACATCTGCAAGGAAATAGCTGAAGGTATTGAGAGGGGAGGCAGGAAACGCTCTGCATTTTTTTTCTAAATATAATGACACTGATGCTGTTTGCAGTGGTTAAAAATAGCCGCCCAGAGAACCTGCCTTTTTCCTGTTTGCTTTGAGCTCTCACTTTCTGCGTTCTGAGGAGCTGTGTGAAAATAAACCCAGCAGAGACAATCTCAGCAGCATGCAAAGCCAAAGCAGGCGGCCACGTTCAGCACCACCAAATGCACACAGCCCAATGGCTCTGAGCTCGCTTGGCCTGCGCTGGGACACCCTGAGCTCAAGGAACAGCCATGGGAGCAGGCTCCTGCTGCTGCAGGTGCTGAGATGAGAAGCTCTGTGCTCATTTTTCAGCATGGCAGAGTGAGGTGTGCGTGTCCTGGCAGGAGCTCTGCCTGATTTATGGCAGGTGCTGCTCCAGGTGCCTTGGGAGAGGCCTGGCAGAGGATAAGTGAGCATGTGCAGGGATGGACTGTGGTGAAGAAAGTGTGGTGTTGTAGGAGGGCTGCCTGGAATGCACTGCAGCCGGGAGCGGGGGATGAAGGACTGTGTCAGCCCTGTGTGCATTCCTCTGCCCTCCTCACTCCGTTCCCAAATGCCGTTGGGGTTGGCGTGAGGCAGATGAGCAGTGGGTGGGAGCATTGTTGGCACTGTGCTGGCAGAGGTTGGCATTGCCATAAAGCACAGGTCAACGTCACCATACAGCAGAAGCAGATATCACCATATGGCAGACCCTGAAACTGCCATACTGCAAAGGCTGGCATTGCCATGCAGTGACTGCCCTTGTTGTTCTTCCCAGAGCTCTGAGTCAGCAATACGGTGTTTAAAATACCACTGGGCTATTATGAGTCACAGTCTGGGCCACTTTTGTGTCACAGAGCCAGTTCTCCTGCAGACCCACACTTTAACCAGACACAACGTGGTTTTGCCAGCTGTCCCCCACCAAGCAGTTTCCCCAGGCACCCTTCCCCCAGCAGATGCTTTCCTGGGGTCTCACAGGGGGCTCTGGCCATACTTCTGCGGTCTGCTCAAGCTCCGAACTCGCGGAGGAACAGGATCCCGTCCCGCCGACCTGCACCCCCCCGCGGTGCTAACTTCTGGAGGAGCCCCCAGCCCCAACCTCCGCACGGCCGCAGCCCGACCCGGCACCCCTCAGATCGCAGCGGTGACCCCGCACCGCGCGGCCTCTGCCTCCCCCTGGCGGCGGCGCCGGGCCGGGGACGCGGCGCGGTGCCGGGGGTTCGGAGCCGGGACACGCGGGGACGCAGCTTGCCCCGCTCGCCCAGCACGCTGCCGGGCGTTCATCTTTTCTCCTAAGAAAAGCCCTTCTGCTGCCACTGGGGAGAAACTTCTTCTAGCCAGGCATGCATCACGCCCGGGGAATGGCTGGAATCGAAGCCAGCTTTGGTAGAGACAGCTGTCTACAAATTGAAGCTGTTTTCTTCCCAATAATCTGTTTTCAATTTCTTGGGCAGCCCTTCGAGCCAAGAACAGAACAAAACAAGAGCTCCAGGAGATCCTATAGAATATTAATTGGGCCAGAGCCCTGGATTAGGCGGATTAAAGCGTCTCCAGCAGTTTCCAGCTCTGCACAGCAAGGATTGGTTTCTCTCAGACATTCCTTGCTGTGGCAGGAGGCCGTGCCCGTCTGTGTGGGGCAGCGGCCAGGCAGCCCCCAGTGCCCCCCAGCACTGTTCCCACCTTGACCTGGCTATGGGGTGATGGGAACACCTGGCTGCTTCACTACTGCTTCTCCCCTCCACCCTTCTGCCTTTCTCTCCATTCCTGCTATTTCGCCTTCACTGTGCAATAGTCCCTAGAGCAGAAGAGATGATCTCCACATCTCCAACGTTCTCTGGGGAAGCTCCTGGCACAGCAGAGCACATTGGATGGGGACCCCTAGTCCCATGGACACCCAACCCAGCTGGCTTCTGGGGCTGACAGCATCAGGATGGTGGAGGAATCCGTGCAACCCCAGGTTTGCTCAGAAGGACGCAGTGCTACAAGTGTGAGAGTTCAGAGGACACTAATTACCAGCCCCACCTGGGGAATGGCTGGAATTATTACTAATTCCAGAAAGAACTAATTACCTGCCCACACACCTGGCCCAGGAGCTCTATTTAAGCACAGCCCAGATACTCAGGCACCTTTTGGGCTGCATTAGGGAGTGCAAGACTCCAGCTAGGCTATACCTGGCCAGGGGGACCTTGAGAGGGACCTTGAGCCAGACCCTGTCTGCTGCCTTCCAGGTATGGTACCATCCTGCCCCTCACTATAGCCCTGCAGGCTGAGCTCCTGGTGCAAAGAGGGACCTATCACAGCAGTACAGCCTTATGATCTTGCTTGAATCCAGCTGCCATCTCTGGGTTGGGGCATGGAGGCAGCTGTGTGAACTGAGATTAGTTATAGGTGTGCTGGGAGGAACTGGAAGTCCCTTCAGCTCTGGCATTACCAGTGCTTAAGGCAGAGGGCTGGGTCGGAGCCTGTGCTAAGGGGATAAGGCAGCACTGCCCCGATGTGGTTCAGGTACAATGGTGCTCATCTCTTCTGTGCTGCAGGACCCCCGAGGCAGCGCCCTGTCCCAAATAATCCTGCGATGTAGGACTGAGAGGTCAGTTACAGCCTGTACAAAAGCTGACCCAGGTGTGTGTGGGGGGGGGGATGTCAGCCCCCAGAAGGCTTTCCCTGGGCACCTGGGGAGGGGTTGGAAGGGCAGCGGCAGCCTGCGGGTCAGGGCTCCGTGCTGGGACTGCGTCCTGCTGAGCTGCGGTACTGAGGAGCGTAGGAAGAGGGCAATGTTCGGCCGCTGTGCTCCGCTCAGTCCCAGGCAAAGCGGCTGTGGGAAGGCTGCATTCAGCAAGAACAGTTTTTTTTTCTCCTTTTTCATTTTTTTGGCTGTTGCAGCGAGGGAGGAGATGCGCGGCGCTGACCTTGCAGGCTTGCCGAGAGGAGCTGTGCTCGGGTTAATTCTGCTCTCTCGCAGCCCGGGGCAGCGTCCGGCCGAGCGCTACAATCCAATTACCGGGGCCGGGAGGGCAGCTCGGGGCGACACGTGCGGGTCCCTTCCGGCCCGAGCAGAGCTGTGCTGCGGGCGATGTCGGCTGTGTGCGCGCTCCTGGCCGCGTCCCGCTTCCCTTGTGACAGTCGGGACAGGAAGGGAGCGGCGTGTGTCTGAATCGGGCTCCTCCTGGTGCGGGCACCACCGTTCTGGGTTCTACTCCACGTGGAGGAGGCAGCCCAGCACCCATCCGAGATTTCTGGCCCTGGTGCACGGTGACCTCTCGTCATCCCAAAGATGCGGGTGGGAAGGGGCTCTGCTCTCCGCCAGGGGCTCAGTGCCGACGGGGTGGGTTCTGTAGGCGTTTCTAGGGTTGAAGCGCTGCCAGTTACAAACTGCAGCTCTTCTCCCCAGCACAAAACACTGGCTCTGCTTCTCTACCTTTTCTTTGCATTACTGCCATCCTGGGGTGGCCTTTCTGCTCCAGATGCCTGGAGCAGGTCACAGTACCTCAGGGTGGCCTGATGCTCAGTACAAGCTGGTTTGGTTTTACTGTCCCTAATCCCATTAGGGGATGAGCTTGCAGCAGCCCACGCGGCTCTGCAGGAGGCTGCAGCCCAGGACATGACTGTGTCCCTGTGCTGCGCTGGCCTTGCTGTCACTCAGCTGGGCATGCATTGGGTGTCCCCTGTGTCTGCTATGGGAAGCTGCAACCTGCTCGAGGATAGCATCGTCTG